ATGAATGTCATTATATTGTATACCTAAAATGTACCAATAAAAGGATTAAATAAATAAATAAATAAATAAATAAATAAATAAATAAATATGGTTAACATGTAGGTAGTGACCCTGGACCAAAGAGGTTTTAGAGAAAAAAACAAAAAGAGAGAAACCCTGAGACACAGTCACAGCAGTGTTGCTGCATCAGTGCGCCGACTCCAAAGCAGAGGCTTTTTTTGTGGGACAACAGTCACACAAATGAGGAGGACGATAGTACAGGAAGAGTGGTCCCTATTTGGCGGTGCAAAGGGACAAGTGCCCCAGGCTTTCTTCAGAGAGAAAAACTCAAACTTCTCCATCCAGCCCATCCCAGTAGCACCCAGGGATCCTCATCAATCTTCAGCATCTTAGAGGAAACCAGGAGCTGACCTCAACTCTCTGGCCAGGATGGCTGAGCAGATAAGAGCTGGAGAAGGGGCTGAGTCCCCTCCTCGTGCAGCAGCACCAGGGGCCGGCGGCAGTATGCCACCATGTGGCGGATATCCAGGGTGGCTGTGCCCATCCCAATGCCACAGTTGGTAGAAAGAAAGGGTCCATCGTGAGCTGAACAAAGAGGACCACTGAGTTCAAGGTCAACCTGAGCTACATTGTGAGATCAAGCCCAGCCTGAACTATATAGCAAGACCTATAGCAAAACAGAAGTTCTAAAAAATATTATATTTTGATAATATAACTGTAAGAAGATAAAATCAGAAGTAATGATAAGCTAAACCTTTCAGAGATGTACTTGAAATGCTAGAATCGGTATTTACAAGATGGATATATTTAAGAATCATGTATCACAGCAGGTGACCAGTTAATGGCATTCAAAGGAAGTTTCCCATTTTAGATGTGTAGACTTCTAAATGAGGAATAAAAAAATTGGGGTTTTCTATGTTTAAATTTTTATTAAAGCTTCTAATAATATTTTTTCATGATACCTCTGGTTTTACTACTGTAAATTATTCATACACTGAGTAAAACATACAGAAACATGAAAAGAGTCCATTGGACACAAGCAGTAAATAATTAGAACTATTGCTGGTATACTAAGGATTGAAGATTCAGTTATTTTTGTTGTGATTATCCCTATAGCCATCACTAGAATCCATGAACTTTCAATAAGTCTTTATTCTCAAAAAGGGACCACACCTTATGTTTCAAAGAGCAGCAAGAAGGACTGCTAGGCACCAGCAGTTTTGAGGCATCCCATTACCACCCTCGGTGAGAAAGGTACCAGCAAGCCTTCCCACTCTACTATGCAAAAGGCAGACACGTGGGCCTGATGTGGCCAGGGGAAGGTGAGCCCACTTCCTGGAGGCTGTGTAGAACACAGAGCCACCCCAACCACTCTTGCTGCCCACCCCCTACATCCTCTGATTCACATAAAACTGGGCAGCCATTAAAAGATCTGGTAATATATTTCCCATGCCTTTGAAGATCTCAACGTTTTTTAAAAAGAAAAAGCTATAGCCTAAGTGGTACCTTTATCCCTTCTGATTAAAGGTTGTAACTTTCAAAGATGAAGAATGAAAGTGGGAATGACCATTTAAAAAATCATAAAACCAAATACAAAAAAGAACATCAAGGGAGTCAAAAATAAAGGAAAATAAGGTAGAAATTTCTCTATTAACCCTAAAGAGAAAAATCCAAGAAAGTGACTGAAGAAGAAAACTCAGAGCTTCAGATTTTATTTCTATATGCCTTTTTCTCATTAAGTTTAATGGCACATTTTATGTATACAATATGATGACATTCATCACTTGGAATTTGTACATTTACATGATATACCTTCATATTTCTATATACTTTTGAAAAACTGATTTTTAAATGAATGAATGTTACCTACAGGGTTGGTCTAATCTAAAGGAGAACTTTCCAGCCATAAGAGTGATTCTCCCAATGGAGACAGAAGTGACCACAAGACTGTAGTTGGTCCCCATGTAGGCAGATATTCAAGCAGGGGACAAAGCGCCTACTGAAAAAGTGTGCAGCTTAAGCCATTTCTGAGCTGGGGGAGAGAAAACTGGACCTGGTAATGTCATTTCCAATTAAGATACATTATATGCAGGTACAGATTCCCTATGATGAATGTGATCATTATGTATGGCAAACATGTATCAATAAAAAATGTTTTTAAAGAAAAAGAAAAACAGAGGTTCCAACAATGGGCCCCAAAATCAGAGGGCTTTGGGCCAAAACCCACCATTTCCTGAAGGGAAAGGAAAAAATGGAAACAAAGTCTTCATAAATAGGGAAGAGTGGAGGGGTTGAAGGGAGGGTAGGGGAATGGGGAAAAAATAAGAACCAAGATACATCATGTAAAGGTACAAGTTCCCAACGATGAATGTGAATGTACTGTATACCTAAAATGTACCAATAAAATTAATGGGGGAAAATCCCACCATTTCCGGGGGGAGATTATTTAGCTAGACCAAAATTAACTTTGATTATTTGTAAAGCAGTGGGACAATAGGGGCTAATGGTGACAGCAGTGCCCAGCTGTGTGGATATCTTCTGTTTGGCCCTGCAGATCCCTCTGTACACTTCGCTAGCTTTCCTGCTGCCCCAGGAGACTGACTCAACAAAACCCTGTAGCAGGCTCCTGTAGGGTTTCCAACAGCCTCTTCCTATTGAGACCTACAGTAGGAAAGGACAGAGAGTGAGGGAAGGGTGTTGATGCCCTTTCGTACTCCATGCAGAGGCCTATCTGGTAGCTGTGTCCCTCAATTAAAAGCCACTGTTATTGTCAAGGTTGCCCCCTCTGTATAACTTCTTCCTCCCAGACTCTGCAAACTCCTCTCTTCCCTCATGCCTCCAGGCCTAGAGGTGGTAACAGCTTTTTTTTTTTTTTTACCAGCTCAAGGATGTTGCCCCATGTTCTAGGGCTCCCTGTCCCTGCTCAAACTTTGTAAACAGCCCATCAATTCCCTCTCTTCCAACCATCTTAATTTCAATGTGGATCTGTGTTTGGCTGGGGCCCTGACTCTACCTCAGAATTGTTAAGAGAATCAGAAGCAACAATGTACGTAAAGTACCTGACACTTGCTAAGCAATCTTACAATGATATTTTATCCTCCTCTTTTTATTTGCTCACTCCTCTTTTCCACCCTTGGCTAACCCTTCTAGTCAGAACTTCATCTGATTCTTTAAAATAGAATTAGCAGACTTTTTCTGCAAAGGATCAGATCATATTTTAGGTGCTGTGGGCTTCATAATTTGTTTCAACTGCTCAACTCTGCCCTTATAGAATGAAAGCAGCCACCCAGAGCAAGACATCAATGAATGAGCCTGGCTGTGTTCCAATATCATTTTATTTATGAACACTGAAATTTGAATTTCATATTATTTTCATAGGTCATATGATTCTTCTTTTGATTATTTTTTAGCCATTTGAAAATATAAAAACCATCCTTGGTTCTCAATTTGTACAAAAAACAAGCAGCAGGCAGGATTTGGCCTCCAGGCCATAGTTTACCAACCTCTGCTTCCACAGTTTTAAGACTTGGCATTTCTGTAGCACGAGAGCTTTTATGTCTTAAATTATTATTCTATATTTTTTCCATTTTCATATTTTTAAGACTCTACAAATTCATTCTTGAAAGCCAAAGCTTGCTTACTCTTTCCCATAATCTTTGCCAACTGGCTTTCAAAATCCTCTGCCATAGCACGTTCAAGCCACTCCCCTCCATAGGACCTTCCAGGGCAATGCCCTTGAAGCTGTTCCCACACTAGAAATACATTCCAGCACTTTTCATCTAGGAAAAGGCACATCCAGGACAACCCCAGTGTTATTTTCTCCATGGAGATAATAAGAACCCCAGTGTATGTGGATACAGCTTGCCCTCAGAAACATTGAGATGATGAAGTTTGTTTTTGCAGGACTCTACCTGATCATGCCCACCCTAGACTTGTGCACACTCAAGACATTTACCTACCTTGTGATTATTTCCTCTGTCCTCACGTCTTTTTTTTTCTTAAATTCTTTTATTGGTACATTTTAGGTATACAATACATTTACATTT